ATGATACCAAAACCAGGGAAAGACACCACTAAAAAGGAAAACTACAGACCACTATCCCTCATGAATATAAATGCAAAAATCTTCAACAAAAAAATAATACATCCTGACCAAGTGGCATTCATACCTGGTATGCAAGGATGGTTCAACATTAGAAAAACAATCAATGGGGGGTGGGGGCAGGTTACTGGGCAGGGAAGGGAGGAGACTGGGTTAGGGTTGGAGATGGTAACTGGGGAGTCAAACCAAATGTACATGTAATGTTGAATGTAAAACAAACTCTGCTCTGTAAACTTGCACCAAAAGTACAATTAAAAACAAACAACAAACAAAAAAACAATCAATGTAATCCACCATATAAACAAAAGAACCATATGATCATATCAATCGATGCAGAAAAGGCATTTGATAAAATCCAACACCCATTCCTGTTCAGAAACTCTCAGCAAAATAGAAATAGAAGGGAAATTCCTCAACATAATAAAAGGCATACACGCAAAGCCAACGGCCAACATTACTGTTAATGGAAAAAGACTCAAAGCATTCCCCTTACGAAGAGGAACCAGAAAGGACACCCTCTATCACCACTTCTATTTAACACTGTATTAGAAGTCCTAGCCAAGGCAATAAGGCAAGAAAGAGAAATAAAGGGCATCCAAACTGGCAAAGAGGAAGTAAAGCTATCTCTATTTGCAGATGACATGATCCTATACATAGAAAACCCAAGAGACTCAGCAAAAAAAAAAAAAAAAAAAAAAAACTACTCGAACTAATAGAGAGAGGTTCAGCAAAGTGGCAGGATACAAGGTCAACATACAAAAATCAGTTGGATTCCTCTACACCAACAGAGAAAAAGAAATAAGGGAAATAATACCATTTATAACAGCTATCAAAAAGATAAAATACCTAGGAATAAATCTTACCAGAGACACAAAAGACCTGTACAAAGAAAAGTATGAAGCACTAATATAAGAAACTATAAGGGATCTACATAAATGGAAAAACCTGCCTTGTTCATGGATAGGAAGACTGAATATTGTGAAAATGTCAATACTACCCAAAGCAATCTATACATTTAATGCAATCCTGATCCAGGTACCAACAAAATTTTTTAAGGATATGGAAAAACCAATTACTAACTTCATATGGAAAGGAAAGAGACCTCAGATAAGCAGAGCACTACTGAAGAAGAACAACAAAGTAGGAAGTCTCACAATCCTGGATCTCAAAACCTACTATACAGCCACAGTAGTCAAAACAGTGTGGTACTGGTACAATGAGAGAGAGACCAATGGAAAAGAATTGAAAACCCAGAAATAGACCCATTCATCTATGGACAGTTGTTCTTTGACAAAGGACCAAAACTCATTAAATGGGGAAGAGAGAATTTCTTTAACAAATGGTGCTGGCAAAACTGGATATCCACTTGCAGAAAAATGAAACAAGACCCATACCTCACCCTATACACAAAAACAAACTCAAGTTGGCTCAAAGGCTTAAATGTAAAACCCAAAACTATGAAGTTCATCAAAGATAAAATGGGGGCAAATCTAGGAGCCCTAATTTATGGCATTAATAGACTAATAAGCATAGCTCAGAAAGCAGAGGAGGTAGAAGAGAAGCTAGATGACTGGGACCTTTTAAAAATTAACTTCTTATGTGCATCGAAAGACTTCGTCGAAAGGGTAAAAAGAGAACCTACAGATTAGGAGAAAATATTTGCCTATGACATATCTGACAAAAGTATCTCCAAAATCTATATAAAGTTTCAACACCTCAACACCAAAAAGACAAATAATCCAATTCAAAAATGGGCAAGGGACAACAACAGACACTTCACTAAAGATGATACGCTGATGGCCAACAAACGCATGAAAAATTGCTTGTAATCATTAGCCATTAGAAAGACGAAAATCAAAACAACAATGAGATATCATCTCACCCCAGCAATAATAGCAAAGTTGAACAGCACAGAAAATAACAAATGCTGGCGAGGCTGCAGAGAGACTGGAACTCTCATACACTGCTGGTGGGACTGTAAAATGGTACGACCATTGTAGAAAATGGTATGGCATGTCCTTAAAAAACTGAAAACAGAAATACCATTTGAACCAACAATTCCATTACTAGGAATGTATCTTAAAGAGGTGAGAGACAGGACACAGACAGACATATGCATACCCATGTTCACCACAGCACAGTTCACTATAGCAAAGAGATGGAAATAACCTAAATGGGCATCAACAGATGAATGGATAACCTAACTATGGTACCATTCACACAATGAAATTCTGTGCTACATTAGAAAACAATGAAGAATATGCAAATCATCTCACAACATGGACGTTATGCTGTGTAAAATAAGTCAACTGCAGAAGGACAAATATTTTATGAGCCCATTACTGTAAAAAGTCAAGGAAGAGTTTGCGTAGGGAAGGGAACTCACACTGTAGGTTACTGGGGATAGGAGGGGATAATTTTGGACTAGTTGGGGGCCACAAGTTGAGCTGGGTAAGGGGAAGGATGGTATGGAAACAATCTATGACCAGCATGATAACACTGGGGAAAGGGAGGACATCAAATTGTGCACATATGATATAGACAACAGAGGCCAATACCAGTATATCCATGATACTGCATTACCATTAACAACAAACACCAGGCTACAGATAAACACAGCTAATCTTGCACAGATACTAGTGATACATAATACCTGCAATCCTTACAGAAACAACAAAAGACTGACATAGACCAATCCCTCAAAGACAGCCAGACACTGTGGGAGAGAGATCCACCAGATCTGCCGACTCAGGACCACAGTATTGGGGAACACCAAGCTGAACTGGCACTACAAAAGACATGAAAATCTCATTCCACAACCTACTTTGGTGAGTAGCAACGGGGATCATAAAAGCTTTCAAGCAGCCATCTAACTTGCAGCTAATGGTGTCCTATCAACTGGAAGCAAAGAAGAGTAAAGAAAACCAAGGACATTTGCAAACAATCACCCCTAGGACATGATGGACCTTGAGACCAAAAGAACTAGATGGTGCCCAGCTACCAATACCAACCATGCAGGAAGGGATCAAAACTGGAGATCCTGAATAGAGTGGGAGGAAAAACATGGAACAAAATCCTAAAACACAATAATGACCAAAATTATTGGTTAGATGGTGTCTGATAAGACCCCCAAGACTATGGCTCTGGGATACACTTTGGGCCCGGGATAAAACTCACTCCCAAGGGCTGGCTCTCAGCCCAATAGTAATTAAGACTTCTGTGTGGAAGAACACTCAACCCAGGGCAATGTACCCACCTACATTATGGAGATATATCCCTTGAAGTAATTGGCCATGGGGCACCAGTGGGGCACCAGTCACACAGAGGAAAAGCTGGACAAACAAGAGTACTTAACTAAGAAGGGCACTGGGAGAGGTGAAACGGTTACTGGGAAGGGAGAGGAAGAGAGTAGGTTAGGGTTGGTCTGATAACTGGGGAGTGAAACCAAGTGTACATAAAATGCTGAATGTAAAACAAATTCTGCTCTGTAAATTCACACTTAAAGCATGTAAAAGAATCCTAAGTCACCGTAATAAAAAGGCAAAAACACCCATATACTCAGGGAAATTGACTCCAAATAGGTCCAAATGTTAGATGTAGCAAACATTTCTTAAAGAATTAAAAATACATTCAAATTAAAGGAAATGTGGTCTTGATGACTGTAAAGTTAAAGACTCTAACAGAGAAATGGAAGTGATAAAAAAGAACCAAATGGTAATTCTAGAGCTGAAAGTACAATGAAAATGAACAATTCACTAGAAAGGATCAATAGCAAATTGAAGATGCAAAAAGAATTAGTTAACTTGTATAGAAATCATCCCACAGAATATAGAGAAAAAAAAGACTTAAGAAAATGAACAGATCTAAGAGACCTGTGGGATAACATCAAACTCTCCAACATATGTGTAACTGGAATCCTAAAAGAGGAAAGCAGCATGAAAAAATGAAAATGATAACCAAGTATAGAAAAGAACACATCACAGTACAAGTGGTGTTTAAAAGTTAAAAACTTACTCATGTAAAAGCACTTTATACAGTAAAGTAATTTAGCCAGCAATCTGTTTATATTTCAATTCTCTACAATCAGAAAAGATACGCCCTGTCAAATGTAATTTAAATTCTGCTATAAATCTGAAGTAAAATTAAAGCATAGTTCAGATTAAAAGAAAAAAAAATTTTGAGTTTTACTTGGCATAAAATATACCTAAACTATGCTGGTCTGATAAAGCCTGGTAGAACCCCTGAAACTATGGCTCCTAATTGCCCTTGAGGTCTAGAACTAAACCTACTTCTATGGCTTCCAGCCAAACAAAAGACAGGCAAATCAGCAGAACATTTACATTAGGTAGATACATTCCTTGGAGAGATCAATCAAGGGAGAATAGAAGGGCTGTGTATGCACAGGGAGACAGGTCAGGGGGCGGGAGGGAAGGACACAGGGAGGAAGTGGTAGTTATGGAGAGGAAGTGGGAGGAAAGCTGTTGCACTGGGGAAGACTGCAGTCAATGTCATGAGACAAAGTGTATGTGAACTGCTATATGGAAGATGAATTTTCTCTGCAAACTTCACCCAAGTCACAATAAAATTAAACACACACACACACACATACATATATATATATATATATATACCCCTAAATCAAACAAACACTGATACCCCTAAATCAAACAAACACTGATTATCCTTTAAAGATGAAGGTACTACAGACTGGAAGAGGGTACAAGAAAGCCTTCTAGGGTGCCGGAAACCATCTACATCTTGATCTGCTTGGTGTGTACACAGGTGTATACATATGTTTAAAAAAAATTGAACTGGATGCCTTAGATATGTTAACTTCACTTCTAAATTATCCTTAATTTAAAGAAGGAAAGAAGAAAGGGAATGGAAACAAAAGAATGGGACAGGACAATAAGAAGGGAAGGGAAGGAGACTAACAAACTTACCTGAAACCTGATCATCTGTTAAGCCAAATGCTGACATGACATTTTTATTGATTTCATCTTGGTTTTTTAAGGGATCAAAAGCCGACATACTTGCTGCCATAACTTGAGTAGACTGTTTTCCAGAAGAATCAGAAGTAGCAGGTTTTTCTTCTCTACCATCCACAGTGTCTACAAGATACAAGAAAGAGGAATAGAAGAATGGGAAAAAAAACAACAACCTTGTTTTCATTTTATTTATGCAGTCAATGAAGACTAAAAAATACAAGATAGAGAAATGCATACATAAATACTCTGTAGTGTTAACAATAAGTATCTCTCTGACTATAGGATTATAGATAATTTTCATTTACTCTTCATACTTGTTTAAAACATTTTTACTTTTAAAATCAGAAAGAAAAGGCAAAAAGAAATTCAAGATAACCTTTTCCAAAAACTCTATTTCCTTCCTCAACAATTAGAGGAGGAAAAAAACATGAGCTCTGTAACAGAAATACTTTTTTTTGGTAGCTCATGACCAAAATACACAGTATGCACTTGGTAAATAACCATTATAGGAATTAATACTTTATTTTGTCAAAGGATAAGAAGCTTAACTAAAGTATAATCTCAACTCTTAATTTTTTTTTTCCCAATCCTTAAATTGTTTTTTTGTTTTGTTTTCCAACCTTTAAGGTTTATTTCTGTGTGTTGGTCTGCTATTACACTACATGGAAATTTCAAGCCCTTCAGAATCCATTATTTATCCTTTGTAAATAGCATGAAATATATATTTTTAATTTGCTACGTCTTACTTTCAAATTTTTATTACTTATTAAAATCTTACAGATGAAATGATATATATGTAGGATTTTCTTCAAAATAATACGGGAGCAGAGGAAGTATATGAGAGTACAGATGAAACAATACTCACTATGAACTGGTAACTGCTGAAACTGGGTGTAGGTGCATGGGATGCATAATAGTGTTTTCTACTTTTGTGTATGTTTAGATTTTTCCATAATAAAGTGTTTCAAAACAGAATAAATGAAATTTTAAACATATAAACAGGTTAAATATAAAACTATGCTATTCTTCTATGGATACTAAGATACATTATACTACCACCTTGTGAAAGAAAAAAGAGTTCACAAATAATCGACATTTTACAAATAGGAATTGAGAAAGACATAAAAAAATATCAAGAGCAAAACAAAATAAGCAAACTAAAAGAATGCTGCTAATCTTTTAGCAAATTAACAATGATTATCAACTTTTCTGTTATTAAGCAAGTAAATAAACATCAGCCATCAGATCACTCCTGTGAACAATTCAAAATTTACCTTCTGAAGAAATACAAGTACTAAATGAAATACAGGCACCTCCAGCACATATGGCCTGTCATTCATTCCTAACCTGTTATTCTACCCTTGATTAGTATTTTCTAAACTTTTAGAAAAATGTCAATAAATACTTCTTCAACTAAGTATACCAGTTATTTATCTTTCTCACCAACTCCCTTACTCTAATTCCAAGGCTATACTACAAACACCATACCAAACCAAAATCTCAGTGCCAGGTCAATTTTGCCTCAATGAGACCACATAGGATGAGTAAAACTGCCCCATAAGTTTTCCAAGGCTATAGTCTTTACAGAAGCAGACCACCACATCTTTCTCCTAAGAAGCAGCCAGTGGATTAACTGCCAGCCTTTTGGTAGCAGCTGAACAGTTTAACTGTGGTGCCACCAGGGCACCTACACTACACAAAAGTCTTATTAATTATTCCCTTTCACACAATATAATTTTCTTTTTTTAAATGCCTTTTTCACTTACTAGAAACTAAATTCTATAACTCCATTCGATGCTATACTGCAACAGGTCAATCCAGTATCTAAGGTACCCTACAAATCATTTGCTCCTTGGAGGAGAGCATATGTCTAAGAACCATTGCAAAGGTAGAGCAATGAACAAATAAGGTAGTCCATGGTTCTGGCTGAGGGTAAGTCAAACAGAACTGACAATTAAACAGCAATTTCATTTTGAGGATGAGACTTGGCTTTTTATTTAGGTTTTTTTTTTTTTTTTTTGGTTTTTTTAAAGCTTGGCTTTTTATTTATTTTTTTTTTTTTTTTTTGGTTTATTTTCCTTGAGAAGGAGATTATTAAATCAGGATATGTTCTAAGAGCTTAGAAACTTTCATGATGTCCAAGAAATAAATGGTCCAAGTACAGGAGAGGAAACAAAAAATAAATAGGTGGCCATCTCTAAAAATAAAGCACAGATGTATTATGCAATTCATTAAACAAGTCAGATCAGACAGGACACAATGTTATTCAAACAAAGAAGTAATATGTAGCATAATTTCCAAGATAGAGAAGAAACCAATTTAAACATCTTTCATACAATATAGGTAAGAAGATTAGAATTTGTGAGAATATAGAAATAAAGGCCTGATAAAGAAAAGTAATAGATACAGTGGAAATAAAGCAGAGAAAAGAATGGTTGTTTCATTGAAACCAAAAAGCTTAAACAATTCTATTCTTGGAAGAGGAACTAGGCTACCACATGTAATTTCTGCACAGTAGTGGCTATATGTGTTGAATTTTGATTTAAAAGTTTCTTAATACTTTAAATCACTTGAAGTTATATGCAAATGCCATCAGCATTTACAAATTCTTTAAGGAAAATGGTCTAAATTTTCATCAGATCCTTATCTAAAATTAGCACGTTTTGTTTGGAGAGGTAGTGTTCAGAATAAGCCACATGCAATGACCAGCAACATAAAAGGTTTCATCATAAAGGAACTAGGAAGATCTCATTCTAGTAGTACTAGAAATTATTAATCATTAGCCAAATACTTACTAAGCATCTACTATCAACAATATTCAACATGGTTGGAAGAAGAGAGAAAATATAGAAAATGTATTTTTATTTCAATTATAATCAAATTAAGCAGAGAAAAGTCAAAATTCTAAAATATTACATTGCGCTAAAATAGAATAATACCTCAGAATCTATAGGTTGCATGGGATTATTCATGCCATCTTTCCACAAAGTTCTACCTATTAAATACCTTATACAAAGACTTCCAGATTCTCACAACATGGACACAATTTTAAACATTTGAAACTTATAAGCTAACTCAAAATTATAAAAAATAATTACGAAATAAAATAAACTTTATTTTTTAAGTACAACTAAGAATCTTAAAAGTTGAAGCAGTTTATTAAAATCTACTGTTAAGCTGTAATACATACTTAAATTTCAATCTACATTTTAAAACATAGTTGGTACCAAAACTACATCAGTTTCATTTGATTGATAAATCTTGCTTTATCCTTATATAAATAATCTGAGAAGCGGGGCTACATGAAGAATGTGGAAATCAGGATTGGAGGAAGACTCATTAACAACCTGCCATATGCAGATGATAAAACCTTGCTTACTGAAAGTGAAGATGACTGAAGCACTTACTGTTAGCAATCAAAGACTACAGTCTTCAGTATGGATTACATCTCAACATAAAGAAAACAAAAATCCTCACAACTGGACCAATAAACATCATCATAATAAATGGAAAAAATTATTAAAGTTATCAGGGATTTCATTTTACTCAGATGGACAATCAAGCCCATCGAAGCAATAGTCAACAAATCAAATGACATATCATATTGGGAAAACATGCAGCAAAAGATCCCTTTTCAGTGATAAAAAGTAAAGATGTCACTTTTAATAAATTAAGGTACACCTGACCCAAGTCATGATATTTGTAATCACTTTGTATGTATACAAAAGCTGGACTTATTTAAGGAAGACAAAACACTGATGTTACGAAATCACAGTGTTGGTGAAGAATATTGAATATACCAAGGACTGCCAAAAGTCCATGGTAAATGGAGTAAATAAATCTATCTTGGAAGAAGTACAGACAGAATGCTCATTAGAAGTGAGGATGGCAAGACTGTCTGACTTTGGACATGGCATCAGGAGGCATGATTTCTTGGATGACATCATAATCAATAATACAGAAGGTCAGCAAAAAAGAGGAAGACTGTCCACAAGATGGAATCAAAGTAGCTGCAAAAATGGGCTTAAACATAGCAATGATTGTGAGGATGATGCGAGACTGGGCAGCGTTTTGTTCTGTTACATAGTCCCTATGATTTGGAACCATCTCAACAGCACCAAACAATGCATGTCATCTGTAAAAATATATACATTATGATTATTAAAGACTGTTTAAAGTAAATATCACATACCAGTTAAATGTACAAATCTAATCTTTTTTTACATACCCATGGAAGTCAAGAAATCAGATGTCATATTGCACTGAGTAAATCCGCTCTTTCAAGTGTTAAGGAGCAAAGATGTCACTTTGAAGACTAAGATGTGCCTAAACCAAACCAAGGTATTTTCAATCACCTCATATGCATGGGAAAGCTAGACAATGAATAAGGAAGATGAAGAAAAGTTGATGCCTTTAAATTGTAGTGCTAGCAAAGAATACTGAAAATACCATGGACTGCCAGAAGAACAAACAAATCTGCCCCAGAAGAAGTACAGCTGGAATGCTTCTTGGAAGAGAGAATGGCCAGACTTCATCTCACCTACTTTGATTATGTTGTCAAAAAGATCTTTCCCTGGAGGAGGATATAATACCTGGTAAAGTGGACAGGCAGCGAAAAAGGGGAAGACCCTGTAACAATAGGGTCAAGCACAGAAAGGATTGTGAGGATGACGACTCAAGACCAGGCAATGTTTCATTCTGTTGTACGCAGAGTCGCTTAAGTTACAGCTGACTCGACAGAACGTAACAGCAATCTTTTTTTTTACTTGAAACTACTTCATACACCACATAAAACTCATGAAATGATTTTTAATTCCTATAAAGCGTCACTATCTGAAGAGCTTCTGAGTCAAAGGGGTCTAAGAACAGGTATCATAAATCCAGAAGTCCAACACTAATTTTAAAGAATCATCCAGAGACTACTTTACAAACAGGATTACCAGGCCCTACCCTCTAAGCACCTGATCCAGTAGACCTAAGATAAGATCCAGGAATCTGAATAATGAAACTTCCCCATAATCTTGATGAACAGCAGGTTTGGGAATACAGACATGAACATTAGCAGAAGCAGGACCGAAAAAAAGTGGCAGAGGGTACCAACCTATCCCTACTGAGAAAGAGTTACCAAAAAGAAAAAAAAAAAAAGAGTAAGATCTGCAAATAGAAGAGTAAATGAGAATAAAACAAATTCACAGCCTACCATTTTCAGGAATATTGGTGGCAGGTCCTGGTTCTCCAGGTGGTTCCAAGCTATCCAATAAGCGATTTACTTTATTTCGAAGTTCTGTCAGTTCTCGACGAAGATATTTCACTTGACTTGATTCAAGGGGCCTTGGCTGACCATTAACTGGGAAAAAAGCATTAACTTGATTAAAATCAGGAGACACCTTTGACTAAATGTATCAGTAGAACACTACTCAATAAGGAAAAATAAACATTCTTTAAAAAGTGCAACAAAATCTAACAAGATACCTACTGATGTTATTTGAGAGATTAAGGAAAGGACAGATTATTGCTAATAACTTACTTTTTGGAAAAAAGAAAACATTCACCAGTATTTCTCAATGCCAGATCACAATGGTATACAAGAATAATGTTTACAAGAATTATGCTATAATACAATAAATTAAAAACCAGAGCAAGTTTTAAAATAATAATTATATACCTTACAACCTCATTTTCATTTCACATCATTCTTTTTATTCTTGAAATAATTTATTTTACATAAAGACACAACAGAGTTGATTTGTCTGTCATCCTTCTTGCCTACTACCGACTTCAGTAAAGCTACTGAAAGAGCTGACTAAAAAACTATTCTTTTAAAAATATATATATGCAGAACTTATGAATCCCTATCACCCACTATCCTTCAAAGTAGTTACTTTGAGAGGCATTATACAAGTAGCAAAAAAAAAGCCAGATTATCTAATACTATTTCTTTTTATTGACAGTAGCATTACCTCATGTAATACCCATTTTGTCCAAATGATTTTGACTAAAAAAAAAAAAAATTAAAATTAAATACAGCATCCAGCAACAAAGGAAAAAAAAAAAAGTGACCCAAGACTGAATGCAAACTCCAAGAGTTCAAACACTAAATAAACTAAAATGCTTCATGCATTGCCATTACCCATACACAAATTCCCAAGGCATTTAATGGTAAGTGACATCTATTTGAAAGTAAAGGTTTGGGGAGGTTCTCTGACTGTGAAATTGTTTCAAAGGTCAAACCACCAATACCCAGTAAACTACTTTTAAGACAATCCACCAGTATTTTACATATTCCTTTTTGGTTATGAGAAACTTCAATACAGTCTCCTACCTCTATTAATTACTAGGTTTACTGCTTTTTCTCTAATATATGAGAAAGAGAAAAAAGTAGCTCCTGACAGCCAAGGACTGGCCTGGTACTACAGGACAGGCCTTAGTGTTGCCATAAGCGGCCCTGGCACTCACAGGTAGGCTGTGATGTTTCCATATTGCATATAAACAATTTACACAATTTCAAAAACATGAACATCAGACAAGACCATTCTGTGTTGTGACAGACCAAGACAAAAAGAAGACCACTCCACAGTCACGTCAGAACTCAGACCAAAAAACCAGCAACATCGACCAAACATCCCTCTATCATGGCTAGTATTACTGACTGCTACACGTTTTATCAATTGTAGCTTTAGCCACATTTCATTCCTCCTGCCCTCTAGATAAGATTCAGTAAGATACCCAGTCTTAGAATCACCCTCACTTTCTGGGAGCATCTTATCCAGAACAACGCCCATCTTCATGAACCTTCTACAAAATCACATAACACAAGATCAAACCCTCTTCTAATGACCTCTTAACTGAGATACTCTATTGTTCTCCATGACGTTCCTTCTCCTTTATTGCAATGAGTCAAAACCCAACTTTGTTCAATTACAGGTGTGTGCTTGTGGTCAACTTTGGCTGCACTCCACAGATACATCTTACCAGAAGTTTTACAAACCTTACATTTACATCTATATGGCCTTTTTGATCTGCTGTCATCTGCTTAGTCACTTTAGGAGCACCATACCTTGAATAATTCAGCATTTTATTAAGGCAAATATAACTTTATGACTTGAATGAAATATTTCAAGCACACAAAAAGATAAACTTATTAAACACCCATGTACCTACCACCAATCTTCATTAAATCTTAACATTTTATATCTTTGCTCCTGATCATTAAGAAATAACATAATAAATCTTCCCGGTTCCCTCATCCAAAACCCATTCCCCTACTTTATAATTTTAAATAGTTTTGTATTTTTTCTGTAACAATCTAACTTTCTTTGGTTTATTCCCAGTATCTTGTTTTTCATCAATATAACTGGTATTTTGATGTTTTATAAGCTTTTTATGTTGGATATACAGCAATTTTCTGTAAACACTGATCTTAAACTCAGAAATCTTAAATTCTTTTACAGGTTTCTAAACGCTGTAGATGCTCACATTTTTCTGTGAGGACAAATATATCTTTTGATATATCTTTGACAATAAAAGCAATTTTATTTCTTCCTTTTCAATCCTTAATCTTTCACTTTTTCATCTCTTCCTACTTCAGCTACAATATGCTTTTGGGGGAGGGGGGGGAGTGATAGAGGGTATCCTTGTGCCTCTTTGAAGGAATGATTCTAAGATTCTAGCACTATGTATATATAATGTTTGCTGTAGGCTTTTCATCAATATCCCTTATGATGTTAAGAGAATTCTGGTCTATTCCTAGTTTGCTGTAAATTTTCAATGTGACTGGCAGAAGAATTCTTCTTTATCTACTGAGAAGACAGTGCAATTTTTCAAGTTTAATCTGCAATATGGCAAGTATTATTCATAGATTTTCTAATATTAAGCTTCTGGGATATATAATTGTGGCAATAATGCATTTTAATATTCACCACTAAATTTCATTTATTAGTATTTCTTAGCATTTCTTTATGTGAATTTGAAAGTGACACTGGTTTGCAGTTTTTTCTAGTTTTGGTGTTAAAGTTATATTAACCTCATAAAATGAGTTAGTGTATGATCTCTTTTTGTCTATTCTCTAAAATAGTACATATAATTTGGGATCATCTGTTTCTTAAATAAGGAGTTCTGGTGGTGCAGTGCCTATGGCATTTGATGACTAACCAGAAAGATGGCAGTTCAAACCCACCAGCCACTCCATAGAAAGAAGACGGGCAATCTACTTCTGTAAAGGCAATCTACTACTGCCTCGGAAACCCAATGGGGGTCACTATGAGTCAAAATCCACTTAACGGCAGTGAGTTTTGGAGTTCCTCAACCTTTAGTACAATAGTTGGTTCAATTTCTTTAATGTTAAGTGGTTCAATCAAATTTTCTGTGTCTTGAAACATTTAGTACATTAAACTTATCTAGGAAATTGCCCAGGTTATATGTGAGTTTTCACACTGATATAAAGTTGTTCACAGTATTCATGTTTTTAAATATTCTACTATTCTTGTGGGAGCTCTGGTGGCACAGTGCCTAAGGCATTTGACTGCTAACCAGAAGTCTGGTGGTTCAAACTCACCAGCCACTCCTTGGAAGGAAGGTTGGACAATCTACTTTCGTAGTGATACTGCCTTGGAAACCCAAGGAGGGGATGCTATGAGTCGAAATCGACTCGACAGCACTGAGTTTGGTTTTTTGTACTGTATTGGTAATTATATCCCTTTTTTATTCCTAAAATAGTCTTCTGTTTTTTACTAATCTTAACAGAATTCTGCCTTTTCAAATTAGTTGAGCCTATCAATTTCTTAATTTCTACTTCATTTCTTTCCTTCTATTTAGATTTATGTTGTTCATTTTGTAACTACATGACTTGAATGTTTAGCTCATAAATTTCCAGCCCAATTTACTCATGTTAAGTATTAAGACTATAAAGGTCATCCAAGTACACCTTTAATATGCTCTGTAAACTCTGCTACATAGCAGTCACTGTAAGTCACTTCTAATTATTTATTTCTTCTTTGACTTATATTTTTTAAAAACGTATGTCCAAAAGTATGCAAGCTTCGGTTATCTTTTTTTGTCCAAAGCTTTCTAATGAGGTCAGAGAATATGATCTCTGTATCTCTTTTATTGAGATTTTCTAGAAGATCCAATATATGGTCAACTTGAATAAAAATTGTATTTCTTCCAGATAATTAAATAAACAAGATTAAGCCTATTATCTGAGTTGTTCAATTTTTTTCTATATTAACAAATTTTGAAGACATTGAGCCTGCAGTTTCTGGGAAATGTTGAAAGCTCTCACATGAGTATCAATTTGATTTCTCCTTTTTGTATTTGAAAATATAACATGTGACTATTACTAATCAAGTTTCTATTTAGAACCTATTCTATCAATAACCACTTCTGAGTTTGCCTAGTATATCTTTTCCTAACCATTTAAGTTCAAATTTGCATACTCTTTTAAGTTATGTCTCTTAGACCTAGCATGCAACTCACTATTATTTTTAACTCAAACAAGATTTTTTTCTTTTAACTGGTACTTGTTTAGTCAGTTTACATGTATTGTGATTACTATGTTGTGCTTTCTATTTATCAAGCTTCTTTTCTAGTGAATTGAGTAGGTACTCTTCGTTTCCTTTTCCCCCTTGGCTGGCTATTGTTAGTTTTTCAATAATCATCCTTGCATTTTAAACATACATACTTCAATTAAAACTTAACGTTAATTGCTATCATTCTCCCAAATAATATAAGCCCTCAAAATACTTTAACTCCTATGATTCCAATCAACTAGACCAGTAAGTAACATCATGATAAATGTAGAAAATATTGAAATTCTCAAGGATTTCATTTTACTTGGATCCATAATCATTACCCATGGAAGCAGCAGTCAAGAAATCAAACAATATACTGCATTGTACAAATCTGCTGCAGAAGACTTCTTTAAATTGTTAAAATGTAAAAATTCACTTTGAGGACTAAAGGGTACCTGATCCAAGCTAAAGTATTTTCAATTGCTTCATATGCATGCTATAGCTGGACAATGAATTAGGAAGACCAAGAAAAAACTGACATATTTGACTACAACGAACCAAAAAAAAACCCAAACTCACTGCTGTCAAGTCAGATCTGACTCAGAGCAACCCCTCCTTGGGTTTCCGAGGCAGTATCACTACAGAAGTAGATTGCTCAACCTTCCTTCCAAGGAGTGGTTGGCAGGTTTGAACCGCCAGCCTTCTGGTTAGCAGTCAAATGCCTTAGGCACTATGCCACCAGAGCTCCCTCCCTGACTATAGCAAGTATAGCTCCCTCCTTTGACTCCCCAAAGAATAAGCACACCTGTCCTAAAATTACAGCCAGAAAGTATTTGCA